GCATTTCGGGGTGGGGACACCCCCAAGACCCCTCATCCCCGCCCCTCCCCCCAGGGCCGCACGGGACAGGGAGGGGTCCCCAAAATCCCTGGGGGGGGAGGGGGGGGTCAGTGCCCCCCTCCTGTCCTGGGGGGTCCCGGGGACCCCCAGAGACCCCCCCAGATCCGGTGACTGTCGGGGGTACAGGCGGTGCCGGGGGTTTGGGGGGGCTCGGGGGGGTGTTGGGGACAGGGTCAGGTGTGGGGGGGTCCCCGGTGTGTCACTGTCACCCCCTCCCACAGCCCCCCGCAGGCGTGAGCACGTGACACCCCAGGGACAGACACAACACCCCGAAACAACACCTGGGCACCCCCAGGGACAGACACAACACCCCGAAACAACACCCGGACACCCCAAAACAGCACCTGGACACCCCCAGGGACACCCAGAGCCGGTGTCACCCTCACAGGGACACCCGGAGTGACCACGTGACACCCCAACACTCACCTGATATCCCAAAACAACACCTGACACAACACCCCAACACCCCCAGGGCCCGGTGTCACCTGGAGGGGCACCCACGTGACACCCAACACCCGCCTGGCACCCCCAAACTACACCCGGCAGCCACCTGGAACAACAGCCGGACACAATAACCCAGCAACACCCCCAAAACACCCCAAAAGCAATGGCCCAACAACACTGCAACACCCCAACAACACCTCAACAACACCCCCCACTCACCCAACACCACAAGAGCCGGACACAGCACCCCGGTGCAACACCCCACACCCAACACCAACACCCCACACCCGCCTGACACAACCCCCACACGGCCCCGTGACCCCACAGCTGCCTCCACCCCCAACAGCCGGGCTGCAACACCCTGACAACAGGGTGTCCAGGCTGGGCTGGGGGGCTGCGGCTGTTCCTGTGCTCGGGGCTGTTCCTGGGGCTGTTCCTGTACCCAGGGCTATTCCTGGGGCTGTACCCAGGGCCTGCGGCTGTAGGCTGAGCTGCGGCTGTTGCTCAAGGCCTTTGGCTGTACTGGGGCTGTTCCCAGGGCTGTTCCCGGTGCCCTCGGTTGTACCTGGGGCTGTTCCCGGTACCGGGGCCTGTTCCTGGTACCCTCGGTTGTAGCCGGTACTGTTTGAGGGGCTGTTCCCGGTACCGGGAGTGGTTCCTGACGCCAGGGCTGTCCCCGGTACCGGGGCCCTCGGTTGTACCCGGGGCTGTTCCCGGTACCCTCGGTTGTTCCCGGTACTGTTTGTGGGGCTGTCCCCAGTACCAGGGCCCTCGGTTGTACCCGGGGCTGTTCCTGCTACTGGGGCCTGTTCCCGGTGCCCTCGGTTGTTCCCGGTACCGGGAGTGGTTCCCGATGCCAGGGCTGTCCCCGGTACCGGGGCCCTCGGTTGTACCCGGGGCTGTTCCCAGTACCCCAGGCCGTGTCACGGGGCTGTTCCCGGTGTTGGGAGCTGTTCCCGGTACCAGGGGCTGTGTCTCGGGGCCATTCCCGGTGCTGGGAGCTGTTCCCGGTACCGGGGGCTGTGTCTCGGGGCCATTCCCGGGGCTGGGAGCTGTTCCCGGTACCGGGAGCTGTTCCTGGTGCTGAGGCCGTGGCACGGGGCTGTTCCCAGTACCGGGGGCTCTATCCCGGGGCTGCTCCCGGTGTTGGGGGCTGTTCCCGGTACCGGGGGCCACATCCCGGGGCTATTCCCAGTACCGGGGGCAGTTTCTGGTACCGGGGGCTCTGTCCTGGGGCTGTTCCCGGTACCGGGGGCAATTCCCAGAACCGGGGGCCGTACCCGGGGCTGTTCCCGGTGTTGGGGGCTGTTCCCTGTACCGGGAGCTGTGTCACAAGGCCGCTCCCGGTACCGGGGGCCATCTCCCAGGGCTGTTCCCGGTACCGGGGGCCGTATCCCGGGGTTATTCCCAGTACCGGGAGCTGTTCGTGGTACCGGGGGCCACATCCCGGGGTTATTCCTGGCACCGGGGGCCGGATCCCAGGGCTGATCCCGGTATCTGGGGCCGTTCCCGGTAACCGGGGCCGAATCCCGGAGCTATTCCCAGTGCCAGGGGCCGTTCCCGGTACCGGGGGCCGTGTCCTGGGGCTATTCCCGGTGCTGGGAGCTGTTCCTGGTAGCCACAACACGGGGCCATTCCCGGTACCGGGGGCCGCTCTCGGTACCGGGGACTGAATCCCAGGGCCGATCCCGGTATTTGGGGCCGTACCCTGGGGCCGATCCCGGTATTTGGGGCCGTTTCCGGTACCGGTGGCCGAATCCCGGGGCTGTCCCCGTGCCCGTGCCCCACACCCACCCCCGCTGCCCGTGCCCCATTCCCGGTTCCCGGTTCCGGTACCTTTGTGCATGCCGGTGTACTTGTCCTTGATGACGGTGAGCTCGTAGATTTTCCCGAATTGCTCAAAAATCGGTTTCAGGTCCTTCTCCTCCAGGTGCCGCGGGATCTGCCCCACGAAGAGTTTGATGGCGTCGGGCTCCTTCATGGGGCCGCCGGGGGCTCCCCGGGCCCCGGGGCCGCTCCCGCTCCCCGCTATCACCGCCCGGCCTCGGCTCCCGGTGCTCCCGGCGGTGCCCGGTGCCCCGGCGCACACAAAGGACGAGGCGGCCCCGGGGCTCGGCTCGGCTCCGGGGACGGGGCGCGGCGGGGCGGGGGCAGCTCTGCCCGGGGGGCGGCGCTCCCGGCGCTCCCGGTGCGTCCCGGCCGTTTCCCGGGTGCTGCTCCCCAAAAATCCCGGTGGATGCTGCGAGCGCTCGCCCCGCCGGTACCGCCCCGGTGGCCTCGGGGAGGGTCCCGGTACCGGGCGGGGGGAGCTCAGCGCCCGGTTCGGTCCATGGCGGCGGCGGCGGCCGTCGGTCCCCGAGAGCGCCGGTGGTGGCCGAGCCCCCCCGCCCGCTGGGGCACCGGGTACCGGGTACCGGCACCGGGATCGGCACCGGGAGACGCTTTTCTTCCTCGGTTGGGGCCGCCCCGCCCCGCCCCGCCCGGTGCTGATGTCAGAGCGGCACCGGGGACCGGCACCGGGGACCGGCACCGGGGCCTGGGGAGCGGGACCGAGGATGGAGAGCTGGGGACCGGCTACCGGCACCGGGAAGGGATAACGGGAACCGGCACCGTCTGTGGGGCACGGGGTTCTGGCTGCCGGACACCGGCACCGGCGGCAACAGCGGGGCCTGGAGTCCGGGCCCGGGGCTCTGGGAACCGGCTACCGGCACCGGGGACCGGCAGCCGAGCACCGGCACCGGCCGTGGGGCGCTGGGCGGCGGCGGCAGCGGCGGGACTGGGAACCGGGGAGGGGAGATGGCGCCTGGAACCGGGCACGGCACCGGCACCGAGCTCGGGGACCGGCAGCAGCGGCGGTACCGGGAACCGGGACGGGCCCCGGGCTCCGGTAACGGCCCCGCCCGGGCCCGGGGGGGGTGGGGGGGATGTTTTGGGGAGGGGGCGGCGGCTGCGCAGGCGCGGGGGGGGGACGGGGGGGGAGGGTCCGGTGTCCGCCCACGCGTGTCCCCTCCCCCCCACCGCGTGTCGCCGGTGCCTCCCGGTGCTGTCCCCGGTGCTGAAGGCAGCCCCGCCCCCTCCCCTCCCGTGTCACCTCCCACGGCCGCGGCCCGGTGTCCCCAGATCGGTGCCACCCCCTCCGTGGTGTTCCCGGGCCGGTGCCACCCCCTCTGTGCCACCCCCTCGGTGTCCCGGTGCCACCCCCTCGGTGTCCCCGGGCCGGTGCCACCCCTCAGTGTCACTGTCCCCCCTCCCCTGACCGGTGCCACCCCCTCCGTGTCCCGGTGCCACCCCTCAGTGTCACTGTCCCCCTCCCGGCTCGGTGTCCCCTCCCGTGCCACCCCCCCGTTGTCATGGCAATGAGGTGGCACCGCCCCATCCTGGGGGGTTTTGGGGACCCCCCCGCGGTGACACTTTGGGGACACGGGGCTCCCTCACG